AAAATGAGCAATTTAGATGGCCGCCAAACGGCGAATGATGACGCTAAATGCGATCTCGTTGTATGACGATCTCGGTGATTCTGAATCGTCGTCAGCCACGAAGCCATCAACAAAAACCGATGGCGAAAAGTCGGAGCCAGATGCAGAAGCATCGAACCGGAAAAGATTACGATCCGAAGAGGGTGATAAAAATTCCCAAGGTGATGAGAAAGATACGATAAAATCGAAGGCCGGGAACGCGGCTGATAAGCAAACTGAAAACAATTCGGGTGTCGGTAGGTGGACAACGTTGCTTCTTCATTATTTCAAAAGGCGTGTTTTGTTTGCATTTTGTTTTGTTGATCAGTATCAAGAATCATCTGCACTCAAAAGAAAACATCCATAAATGATCACATTTTTACACATTTCTGCAATAATTTTATTGATATTTAACATGCCTGTACATAGTAACAGTTATAAAAATGGTGAGATTCACAGTCGGGAATTGTTCTATAATACATGGATAGTTTTGTGTACGAATGAGGTTTCGTTTCTTCGTAGAGGAGAATTATGCTGTCATCAGTGCTGGTGATAAAGTCGGTGATAACAGCAGTGATAATGAATACTTCAAAAGTAGTCTGTCACCAAATGCTTGATTAATCAGCAAAAGTTGAATGAATTCAGGCACGGTGAGTTTGCTGAGTGTATGCGGATGGCGTAAGGGTGAACGTGAGGAGATGCAAGATGCACACGTTCTTGAGGATCACTATGATATAATCACAGGTGATATGTATGTGCTTTTGAATTTATGTAGTGAATTAATTCATTTTTGCTTCATGACTCAAATTGTCAAGCAGTTTTTTGAGTCAGTAAAAATAAGTTAAGCAAGTGAAATGAGGCACAGTGCGGCAATTCATTGACTGAATTACTGTTAAGGACAACGATAATAACTCATAACCATTATTAATATTATCTGATTGTGTCAAACGGGTATTTACACCCAACGATAACGACTCATAACTATTATTAATCCACTAAATGGTACAGTCATTGACCGAATTATGTTTCAAATTTTCAGCAAGGCATGTGCCCTTTATGGTATATTCGATGGTCATGCCGGTAAGAGAGCCGCGCAGTTCAGCTCGCAACGAATGCCCACAATTCTTAAGGATAAACTCTCAGCATGTGCGTACTTCAGTTCATTTAACAGTTAATTTAAGCACATAACTTATCAACTCTTTTGATTTTCGGCTTCGAATATCATGATTTATATCAAGGATACGGTCATATGATGCGGTAATGCATCATGTCATTATGTATTCAATCAGCAACTGCAACTCATTTCGAGTTCATGCCTCTGTTATCACCAATATCATAAATATCAAATTCTTACTACTTTGACATCCTCCTTTCCGAGATAACAATAAAAGCGCTGGAAATCGTTTATCTTCATGGAACGCTAACTCCAATTACTGTTTTGGGAAGCACGGAGGTTTTGGGTCACTCTCCCATGTTGCCCAATAACTCAAAAAGAGCCTGGAGATACATTCCGCTTGATCAATTGAACATGAAACCAATGACCGCTCAGAGTAGCTGTTTGGAACAACTAACAGTAGTAAAGCGATTATGTTTTGGGATCAAAATAAACAATTGATGTAACCAAATAGATCCATAGCAATCGGTGTATTAAACATTCCACAACCGAGCAGTGATAAATGCCCGTTTCCATAAATAATTTGCATAATTAAACATAGCTGAATATCAATCCATTGAAATTACAACGACGATAAACATTTTGCCGATCGCACAGAGCAATCGGCAAAGCAATTACTCAATGTTCGAATAATTACCATGATCCTAGCATGCCATTTATGATTCAAAGTCACCAACCCAGTATTGTTACAACTTAATTCGGTTGGTTTGATTCAGGCAAGAACGTCGCCGAATTGGAGANAGTGTTAGTTGCTGCTCATATTATCGGTTTTATGAACTGGCCTGCTCGCCTAGTCAGCAGGGTGGCGTTAATTGAGGCTAAAACAATGTGCACGGAAACACTGCGAGCATTGTGGCCAGCAACGTTACAAACGTTTGATAGCCTGGCCAATCCAGGTAATGAACTGGATTCGATCGGGACATTTCTGATGTATTCGATTGCAGTATGTATGTCACATTTGCTTGCGGCATTCACCGTTTGTTTGCATATTGACTTCAGGAGACCAACATGGAAAGATGGCACAACTGCAACGACGGTACTCATCTTTAACACGATTGTTTATTGTGCGAATATTGGCGATTCAAGGGTGAGTTTTTGCTATTCAAGAGCGAAGTTCACGTTCTGTGAGCACAACCATGTCATCGTTTTTGAATCGTAGTACTTACCTCGATTGATTTGATCCGATTAGAGTGTAGATTATTGTTACTGTGCTCGTCATTATATGTGTTGTTCTGATGGAATTATTGCTATTTGAATAGCTTATCAATAAGATCATTTGCTGCAGGCGGTTGTATGTCGAGAGAAAAGTGACGGTAGCGTGGTGGCGTTGCAGTTGACATCGGATCACTCACCGTTGCAATTCGATGAACGTATGAGAATTCAGAAAGCTGGTGGAACTGTGAAGTGAGTGATGATATTCGAGAGCTTGTTTGCGAGGAGAGGCTTTGGGAAGGGGATTGGCGCATTTTTAAATGAGAATAACTATTCAGAGATGGTCGAATAATGGGTATTTTGGAAGTGTCGCGATCCATTGGCGATGGACAGTTCAAGGCGCATGGTGTTACGTGCGTGCCAGATGTGAAAAAATTTAGCATCACTTCAGAGGATCGGTAATCTATTGAGTTATTCTTAGATGTGGTTTGGAACTGCAGAGCAGATCGTGTAATTCGAGTATTCGATATACTTGTAATAAATTTTGTGGCGGTGAAGGTGATAAGCATAATAATTCATGGTAACAATAATTCACAAGCACAATTCACAATTCATTGTAACGCAGTGATAACAACCATATCAATAATATCATAACAGTGATAACAATCAACAATAACGAATGACAATAAGATGAAAATATTCATCAACATTTTAAAGGTTCATTTTGATTGCGTGCGATGGTTTGTGGAAAACGTTCAGCAATCAAGAGGCAGTTGAGTACGTACTCAAGAAGTCGAAACAATCTGTTAAGGTAGCACGTTATCATGTGATTTTCTAATAATATGTGATAAGTTGTGATAGTAATAAAATGATGGCAATGACACGTAATAACAGTAATAAAAATACAAAATTTCAGACAGAAAACACGAATGAGAGCGAAGAGAGCCTCATTGACGCGCGTTATGTGCAGTGGGAACGGACAGCCGGTGAAATAGCCGCAGAATCGGTGCGGAAAGGTTGTGGAGATAACGTTTCTGTCATTATCGTTGTTCTGAATGATCGTAACAATTCATCACGATCGTTATCATAAGTCATTATCGATATTATTATACTGTGCTATTAGTTTATCTCTCAACATATTATAGTTATTATAAAATGTTCATATTGTCCGCACAATTGTTATTGGTGTTACTTATACGTCTAACATTGAGATTATAATTTTTTATGTTGTTACTGTACATGTTCATAACGGATTCCATTGTCGTCGATTGCGCAAAATCAACCTTGTTATCAATAAGTAATAGTTTATATATGATGAGTATGACCATTGCTATTGTTACTTATATCATCCATATTTTGATTGGCATCATTTTATCTTTAATCATGTTACCATTAAAATCATTGTTTTTACTGTTTTATCATCATCATATTTTAAAAATCGCTCGTGTTATTTTAGTTTATTTAATGCTGATATTTTGTGATCGTTCTCAATTTTATTCATATTCTGACTGTTTATGCCAATATCGTACTGAGATGTAGATTGGTTGGTTGGTTCTGACGACTAATTTTTTGTTTTTCTTTTTGTAGCGTTGATTGTTTGCGAATAATTTTATATTTTTTCATGCATAATCTGGTATTTGTCAGTGTTCACCGATGGTGTTTACGTTCGCTTCACAAGTTAATCTAGAACGAAGACATGAAAACGAAAATCCCTAATGTGGAGTAGTAGAAGGTGTTTATACGGAGAAATTTTTACGGAACAGTCTCCGAGATCAATACCGTTGGTAATATCGTTCGATCAGTTCAGCAAGAAAAACACGAGAAACCCTAAATTACTTGATTCTGGGAGACATGAACTAACAGGGGAAAATACCATTCAGATGTTGAGAAGTATGTTCGAAGCAAACTTATGACCCTTGAAGGAATACTGAATATGGTAACATTTAAGCGATCCTACTGACCGGCTTCGCTTGACAACCGTATAATTTCTTTATGAGATCACTCAATATACATTCGATCCCTTTGTTTGTCTTAGCTATAGGACCGTCAGAAATTTCTGATCATCCAAATCTCGAAGCCATCATTTGAGTGTTCGCGATGATAAAGCATTAGGAAATTCTCACGATCTTAATTCAGCACTGGTTCTTCATAAGTACATCATTTTGAGACTCTATAACTCTGCCGGTTCTGAGCCTGGGAAGACCTTGGGCTACCAGCCTGGAAAAAAGTCAAGCTTCCATATATGCGCTGAACTGCATATGCCTAGCTTGAGCTCAAGCTGAAATTCACGCCTCCGATTATGGTCAGTCTTTTGAAGGCACAAGTGATGTGTTTTGAAGGCACAATGCAGTCAAGTCACTTCACAAGCACCAGCGAGAGGAAATGATTATACTGGCGGTGCGAAAGAAGTTAATATCGAAGAAGTTGTATGAATGCACTATGAACGTGGCACATAGATAAGCT